CTTTGCACAGCAGGTGCGCTCGCGGTCCCGCTCTGCCGAGGAGGAGGCCTTGGAGCGGCCGGCGGAGGGCGCCACCTCCGAGGACACCGTAATGGAGAACCTCCGCGAGCAGGACGAGGAGGCCGAGGCCCAGGACGGCGCGGAGGAGCCCGAAGAGGACGAGGAGGCCAACGAGGATGCGGCCGAGGAGGACGAGGAGGAAGAGGAGACGGAGGAGGAAACGGCCACGGAAGTGGAGGTGAGCGAGAAGACGCTCAAGTTCAAGATCTCGACAGAGAGCGGGCGCAAGAGCTACCCGGGCAGTCGCAAGGGCAGCCGAGACAAGAGCCAGCTGAGTGGTGATCTTGCTCACCAAGAGCTGGCCAGGGCCGTGCGGGACCTGCACCACCATCAGCACCACCATCACTACCACCACGGCGCCGCACCTGCGCGGAGCTCCATGGCAACCTCGCCGCAGTCGGGCCGGTCTGTGGAGTTCAGCCGCTGCAACGGCGACAAGGAGACCAAGTGCCTCTCTTTCGAGGACGACACCCTGTCGCGGTCCTCGCACAGTCCTTGCAGCGGCGCGGGCAGCAAGAGGGGCAGCATGGCGGGCCGGACCCGCTCCCCGCAGCCGCAGGCGCTGCCCCTGGATTCGCCCACGACGCCCCCCATCAGCAACCCCGTGGAGGCCCCCGCCGCAGCCAGCACCACGACCACCACCTCCCCAAAGCTGCGGTCGCCCTCTTCCTTTCTGAAAAAACTTAGAAACCTGACTGATAGGCTGTCGTTTAGCGTGAGTGGGGACAGTGGGAGGGAGCACGCTGCGCCCTCGGCCTCCGCCTCCCCTAGCCACACCAACTGCCAGCCCCTCGCCCCAAGCCCCGCGCCCAGCCCCATCCCTGGGGCCGCCACCTGCCCGGCCTCGCCGCTGCTGCACCAGGCCGATCAGGCCGCGAGCCTGCCTGCCAGGCACAGCGTGGGGGACTCCCGCGACCTGCGGGCCACCCTGCCCAAGACGCGAGGGCCCCGTGGCTGGCGCTCGCTTCTGGGCGCCGACGCCAACACCCCCGACCGTCGACGGCAAGCCTCGGTCAACACGTGCCCCAGCGAGGCGCAGGCGCCAGCCACGGCAGCCGGGCTAAGTCCCGCGGGGGAGGACGTGGACCCGGCGGGGAGCGACCCCGCCGACCCCGCCGAGGCCGCCGGCAACAACAACAACCGAAGGAAAGGCGGCAACCTGTGGAGCCCCGGCGGCCCCGGCAGCCGGAGGGGCGGAGGCGGAGGGTTACTCACACGGCTCAAGCAGACCGGGGACAGTATTCACAACGCTGGCTCTGCCGCCGGTGGGGAGGAGAGCGCGGGGGC